ACACACACACACACACACACACCTTTTGTTTGCAGGATTAAACAGCAGCATTGGCAGAGAATTGAGAGCAAAGGGCCAAATCCATGATAGATGTAAATCCAGGGGTGAGTCTGGCCCAATGTCTTGATCCAGCCTGCACCTTTCCCTTGGTCTCATCTCCAACCTGTGTTTGTCTCAGGCTTCTTCAGATGGTGAGTCACTTTTTTTTATCCACCCTCTAAAGGAGACTGGGGTAGCCTGTCCCTGCAGTTGGAGGGTTCTGATCTGCTATGCTATCAGCTGGTGAGAAGGCAGCACACTCACCTCCCTTTCTCAGAGAGGGCCAAGGGGCACGTTGCAGGGAGCAGATAAGCTACAGGGAGATTGTGCTGGGCTACATAGCACTTGGCAAACTACTGCAGGAGACAGGCCTGCCTTGAGCTGAAATCCAGTAAGGTGCTAGGGAAGTGGGAATGGTCTTGCTGGTTTGGCAGGGCGGCGGGGGAGATCTGCTGCCTGCCGGGCTGCTTTTGCATGCAGCTGTCAGGACCATGCCTCGGCTACAGAGGGCTGTTTAACATGGAGTGGGGGTCCAAGTCGTGTCCCAAGGCTGCGGGCATCCGGCATGGCTCTGGGGAGAGGCTGACCTGCATTCTCAGAGGGGAGCTGGCCTCGTAATAAGAATAAATACCATGCCTAGGATTTTCCCTCACAAGCTCTTTGCAAACCGATCACCTAAGAACCGCTTGACTCCCCTCTGTAATGCTGCTGCCTCCAGGGTGGAACCTGGCAGCTGGTAAATAGAGACCCAGGAACCCTTCCCGGCAGCTTAGGACAGGAAGGGGAGAAGAAGCAGGATCCAGTCGAAACTGCAGGGAGCACGCGGGGAGGCGGAGGATGTAATTGGCCAAGCTGGAATTTGGACAGAACACTGGGTTAGAACATCCCTGTTCTTGGGGGAAGTGCCCTGGGCTCAGGACCTGGGGTTTGTGTACCTCTGGAAGATGGGGGATGGGTTTGCCTCTACTCTGCCTTTCACCTGGTGGAGTCATTTACACTTGGGCAAAGTGAGTGCCAAACGTGAGCTCTGGTGTGAGTGGAGTATTCCAGATTGGCAACGCTGTGCCCAGCTGTGAACAAAGGCACAAAGCGCCAGGGAGAGGCGAGAATCAGCCCCCTCCTCTCTAACAGATCCCATGCTCAGGTGATGAGTGCAGTCCAGACAGATTGGACAGCTCCTCCCCTCCCCACATCCTCTTGGGGTAATGGAGTCAGCACTGACTCCAAGGGAAGAGCCCCCATCATCACACGAGGGCATAGGACACTGACTCAGAGAGAGCGTCCTTTCCTGAGTCACCCGCACCCCTTATCACAGCACCACGGGCTTTTTGGAAGTCTGCCATCCATGTGCCTGCGTCACGTGGCTGAAAGCACAGTGTGAATCTGAGGTGCGTTTGGATTAGAGTTTGGCTCCCACGGTGGCTGCCGGAAGCTCTCGGTGAGCGCAGGGCTGGGCACAGCCCTTGCAGATCCCAGCTCCGTGGCCCTTTCAGGTGGCTGACATGACATGCTCCATGTTCCGCTTCCGGCAGAGCTGGGGGACATGAGGGCCCCAGTGAGGCCTCGTGGTCGTTACAGCACCTGCGCTGAGCAGGAGGGGGATGCAGCGTGGCAGCGGGAGCATTTGCATTTCTCGGCCCCACTCACTGAGCTGAGGGAGTCCTGGCAGGAACAGGAAGGATGTGGTGGGCTCATCTCGAGGAAAGTTCACCTTGCATTGTGCCAGCTGTGTCACACTGCGGGGGCCGGGGGGAGGAGGGTGCAGCAGGGGGCAGAGAGGGGAATTTACGTCCGTGGGCGTGCTGCATGGAGGAGTTCAGAGATAGCAGGCCTTCTTCTCCGACTGGGGGCACATCCCCTCACTGATGCACTGTTAATCTCTTAACAAAGGGCTCTTGGAAAGCCCTTTACCAACATCCCAGGGTCCTGGGTGCTACCGGAGATGAGGAATCGAGTCAGGTGATCTCCCACTGAAATGGCAGTGCTGTCTCCAATCCACAGCCACGGGGCAGAACTGTGCTGCTAGGAAAGCAAACTGCGGGGAGATGATAGGCGAGCACACCGTAGCGTTCAGCTTGGGCAGCTCGAAATGGGGGAAGTGGGTTTGCGTGTGAGAGAGGCTGTCTGCATATGTGTGTCTGTCTGTGTGCGACCGTGAGTCTGTGTCTCGGACGGGGAGCGCACGTGTGACTCTGTGTGTGAAGATCTTGCAGGGGAATCCAGGGGCTTTGGGGGTTCTCTGCTCCCCCTCCTGGGGAGGGGGGATGTTTCTGGGACATTTCTGCTGTGCATCCCAAGGGAAAAGCATTTGCCTTTTAGGAGTGTTTTGAGGAGTGCCAGGGATGAGTCAGAGGCAGAGGGCAAAAGCCTCCCTGAGTCTGAGGGCCCCAAAGCCTCCCTGAGTCTGAAGGCAACTCCTGGCAGCATCTCGCTAATACCCGTCAGCTCTCAAGAAGGCTGGAGATTCCCTGATCTTTAGTCTTTCGCCTGCCCCCCACCCCGTGTGGGGTAAGCCACCTACCGTGCCACATGCCATCATCCCCAGTCTAACCATTGTATGATGGTGCCACTGGCCCATATGGACTTGGGCCGTAGTAGTTCCCTCTCAGGCTGAGCGCCCAGCTGCACTGTCTGTGGCATGTCCTACTCCACACTGGTTATGTAGGACACAGCCAGGCCTGGTGGTAACTGCACTCCCCCCATCTCTGCGTTGCTACATTAGCAGATGACAGGCCTGCCGGGGTACGTGCTGTTGAGCCGCAGGCTCCCAGCAGCAGGGCTGACAGCGTGAGGGAGACCTAGGAGCTCATGTATTCATGCAAAATTCACGAGGTGCCGCGCGGAAGGGCTGTGAGCTGCAGCATGGCCGGCAGGATCACCTCTAGCACGTGTTCCTTTGCAGCCGCAGCCACTAAGGAGTTCCAAGTGACCGTGAGGGCCACGGAGGCCACCGAGCGCTGCCGCCTCTGGGGCAGCTTCATCCTCCGAGCTGAGAATGAGGCCCTGGAGCTTCAGGACCTGCAGACGGGGGGCGTACTTTATACCTGGCCTTATAAGTTCCTGCGGAGATTTGGACGGGATAAGGTAACCACAGACCCAGAGGGAGGGAACAGCTCCTCTGAGGTGCAGGGTGGGGATGGGGGCTATCAGATCAGGAAGCTAAGCAGGAAGTCTGTTAAAAGTCAAGCCTCTTCCTGTCAGAAAGGCTGGGCCTGGAGTAGCTGTCAGCTGGCACTCGCATGCCATTTGCTGTAGCCCCTTCTGCCATTAGCTGGGAGGTGAGCGCTTCCCACAGCCAGCGCTCCTGCCCTGCTCACTAGAGCCTCACCTATTGGGAGCTGGAAGCTCCCCCCACAGCCAGCACCCTGCAAAAACTGGGGTAGTTTGTGAGCTTCTCCAAGATAATACATGTGCACTATCCTGCTGGGGGAGGCAGGGACTGGAGTAGCTGTGACATCCCCCTTGCACACGCCAAAGCTCCTGCAGGGAGACTGAGCCCCCTTTTGGGTCAGGACATCCTTGTCCCTCTTGCATAGGTCACATCAAGGCAGGCAAGGAGAGTTTTCTTGGGAACAAACACATCAGATAGCTAGGTGAGAAAATTATCCATGGGGGGAGTAGGTATAACAGCCCTCAGTCTGAGTCATCAGCTGGGTTTGATCCTAGAGCCTTCGATCCCTAGCACAGGCCTTTCGCACTTGAGAGCAAGGAGAGTTAGTTAGCAGCTGTAGTATGTTGTTATCCTCAATGTGGCAGGGGCTGCTGTACCTACACAGTGCTGGGGATATGACCCTGCTTGGCTTTGCACCCCTGCCAGGTGACCTTCTCCTTCGAAGCTGGTCGAAGATGTGCCTCTGGAGAAGGCAACTTTGAGTTTGAGACCACACAGGGCAACGAGATCTTCCAGGTCATTGAGTCAGCCATCAACGTGCAGAGGGGCCTTGGGGCAGATGAGCCGCGGTGGGTTGGCCCTGCTGACGATGCCCTCAGGGTTCCTGTTCCTGTGAGGACCGTGAGCCGAGCCAGGGATGGTGAGGAGAGGGTCTCAACTGGGGGGTCCCTGCTGCACCACATGGCCAGCACCAAATGCCTCTCCCTGGAGTCTAGCTTGGAGGGGAAGCCAGCCAAAGGCAAATCAGTGAAGCCCACCAACAGCTTCCCCTTATCCGGGGAGCCCACAAGCAGCTTCATCTCCCCTGCTGACTCCGAGTTGCCCTACGCGGAGCCACGTGACTCCCTACGGCTGCCCCCGCAGGGCAGAGCCAAGACCCTGCAGCAGGCGAGGAAGGCGGTGGCTCAGGCAAAAGAGGTACCTGAGTCCGAATATGCTGTGCCCTTCGACACCATCGCCAAGTCCCTGATGGCCACAGAGTTTGGCAGCTTTCTCTGCGGCTTTGAGGAGCCAGAGGTCCCATACCCGCTGTATGACAGCATAGATGAAGCGGGCGTGAGGAAGCGGAGCCAGCCACCCACTCAGACCAAGCCAGAGCACATTTATGATGAGCCTGAGGGCCTGTCTGCCCACACTGTGTACGATGAGCCCGAGGAGGTCAAAGGGGAGGCCTGGAAGCTGCAGGCCACTGCAGAGGACCCAGTGGGTCATGAGTACCCCTACAACCCTCAGCGGGATGACTACTCTGTGCCCAAGATGGCCGTGCCCACCCTGCACCCGCTCGCTGGGAAAGGGGGAGACTGGACTGGGGAAACCGAATACGACAATGTGGCCCTGAGGTTCATGAACAAGAAGAAGAATGTGCAGTAAAAGGGAGGAGAGGGAAGAGGAGAGAGAACAAGAGAAAGGACTTTCTGTGCGGCCATTCCACTTGGCCCCGGGTTGTGCCATCTCTCTAGCCCTGGAGATGGCTGGAGTGGACATTTCCAAGAGCCTTTGCTCTTCAGCTGTCCCTTACAGTGAAAGCTGAGTCTGTCAAACTCATCTCACTAGTGACTGAAAGCCTGTTCGGGCCTGGCTGTCCAGCAGTGGGGAACGATAGAATCCAAGTGCCCTCTCCCTTAGCCTAGACTGTATAGATTTAGGGCAGGGTCATGCATTGCTGTATAGTGTGTACGGCACTCAGCATGGTGATGGCAGTTAATATACAGAGTACTAATAATGCTGTCCCAAAGGGTCTGGGTTACTCTCCCCTCCCTAGAAGATATTCCTGGGCATCTCTATTAAAAACGGCATTTAAACCGGCTGCTAGAGTGGTCTGCGGCTTCTTTCCCCATTACATCTGTTTCTCTGGTCCAGCATTACCGGTGGTGGATCCTTCGTTTCTTCATGTCATCAAATCCAGACTGGATGCCGTTCTGGAAGTTATGCTCTAGTCCAACACGAGTTACGGGGATCAATGCAGGGATAACTGGGGGAAATGTAACTGCCTGTGGTATCGCAGAGTTCAGGGATGATCTAAGGGGCCCTTGCGAATCTATGAACCTTCCTTCCCCAGCACAGCTGATCCCATCTTCCTGTGACCTGTGCTGCATCCTAGTGAGCTCACGGGAGGAGATGAAAGCTTAGGGCCGAGCAGGAGATTCAGGTGGCCGAAGAAGTGGGACATCAAGCTGAGACAGTGGTTCGGGCAGGATAGCCCACAGGTGACACTGGCCACGCTGGAGCGGGGCAGGTGTGATATTGGTCTCTGTGGAGCAATTTCAATAGCACATCTCACAGGCAGGCAGCTTGGTTGGGACTCTGGCTCAGGTGAAGCGGGCCAGCCAGGCCAACTCTACCTGTTCACTGACAGCTGGGGAGGGGGCAGATGCGGTGGCAGCAATAGGGCCACTCTGGCGAGTCACTGGCCCAGGTGGTGCCAGGCATAATTCATCTGTGACATTACAACTGTGCACCGGATAGCCAGCTGCCCCAGGGGGTGCATTCCCACTGCCCCTCTCCCTGGAGGGTGCATCCCCAAATCAGACTGTATCACTGCCTCTGAAAGGGGAGAGCCAGGCAAAGCAAACCTGCCCGGGCTTTGGCGCTAATCCCACCGTCTTCAACCCACCTCGGCCCAGGAGCATCTAAACTGTAGGTTTATTTCTGAGCTGGCAGCATATGGGCAGCCAGCCTGCCTCTCTCCCACTGGAGGGCAGTGTTGGCCCATGGTACGATGCTCAGCCCAGGTCTCTAGCGCCATTGGAAAGGGGAACCGGGCTGAAACTGCCTCTGCAGCAGGGTTTCAGATAACATGATTAAACATGAGGTTCTGAAAAAGAACATGCAGGAGAAAAGAAAGGAGGGAGGGGGGAAAATCCGTGAAACCTGATTGGAATGGATATTTCTGTTCCGTTTAAAAGGGCAGCATGGGTCAATAGTGCTGGGTCCGTGGGTGAGAAGAGCATTAGTGGTCAGCAGCCAATGCAGCTCAGTGCAGGTGCGACCCAAGGCCCTGGATGTGGGCTGGTGGGGATGGCCCACCGCAGGCTGGAGCTCCGGGTCTGACCCCGTCTCCATAATGGGCTGATTAGTAGGGGGAAATGGTGATAGAGACAAAGGTAGGATTGAGGAGTGAAAACCTCGTCTAGTTTAAGGCCCTATGGGAGGGGGACCAGAAGAGAGCGAGGGAATGGGAGCGTGCCAGGAAACAAACAGAAAGGGAGCAGGAATGTGCCCAGACACTGCTGTTTTTTCCCCAAAAGCTCCACCTGAGAAGCAGCATCTCTACCCCAACTCCCTTGCCAATGCCAAGCAGCCAGACAGAGACCTCACACCTTGGCTAAGGTCAGACATGCCCACTTCCAGGGTTTGGCTTTCTGGTGATCTCAAATTGCAACCCAACATAAACCTTGCACACAGATGTCCCCTCAAGCCCAGCTAGTCCTATGGGCCCCTGCATTTACCCCTGGTTTGCTCTGAGCAGAAGGTCCCACCCACTCTCCTATACACTGGTGGAGGTAACAAAGCGCACCTGGCACCATGACCCAGCAGGATTGTGCAGGTTTCTAACACCTGCGAACAGGGGGCATCAACAGAAAAGCTCCCCAGCCTTATTGGAGCCTTCCACCCACAGCTCCCTCACCCTGGAGCATGTGGTCTGTCTGTCTGTAGAGCACTCACATGCCCATTTTTATTGGGAGCTGGGTGTGTACCAGCAATCACAGAGTTAAAGAAACATTGCTGATAAGTGATGTTTCATAACTGACTTGGAAGCTCTGACCCCATGATAACACTTTGCTCTCGGAGCTGGAAATGGAACCTAGACATTCTACCTCCCAGACACTCCCTGCTCTAACCACTAGACCTCAATCTCTCCTCCCCAAAGTGGAAATAGAACCCTGGAATCCTGACCCCCATACCCCTCTCCAGCCCACTACTTTAAGCTCCCATCTGCACCCCTTCTGAGCTAAGCACAGTTGCTGCCTCCACCTCCCCCCAATAAATTAATGACAAAACAATGGTTTTGAAGTCAACAGCGCTCAGAATTGATTGAATTGTGTGTTCCCAGGGGACATTTGCCTTCCTATTTACACTCCATTGTTTGTGTTTTTAACTCAGCTTTCCCCCGCCAGTTTGTTCTCTGATCCTCTGCAATTTTCTTTTTGTTTTTTTCCTAGTAAAGTTTTGGTTTGTTTGTCTGTTATGATCCATTATTCAGCCAAACCTTCTCTTTCCAAGGATCTGTGATGTGCTTCAGCCTGGCTGGCTGCAGGCCAGAGGGGACAGGCATCTGGGGAGCCCAGCTCTTGTGCAGTTTACAGATCCTGTTAGAAAAATGCACAAATGGTATTCAGCATGTGTGTAACACTTTACATTGCATACACCTTAACTAATTCATCCTCAACGATCTGGGACCTAGGTCTGTTTTATTATCTCCATGGGGGAGACTGAGGCACAGAGATGCGCCGTGGCTTGCCCATGGTCAGACACTGACTCGGGGCAGAGCCTTCAAAGGCAGGAGTTCCCATCTCTCAGTCCACAGGGTCACTCTCTCTCTCTTGGGTTAAAGTGGGGCTCCAGTGTTCTATGGGAACAAATCCAACCATTACATTAGTGAGGCCAGATCCTCAGCCGGTGTAAACCAGTTCAGCACCATTGACATCAAGAGTGTTCATCGTTTCACTGTCAGGTCAGCAAAGGGAGAGACCATTAAGACCTGCCTATCCAAGCAGCATTTAGAGGCCTTTAGAAATACCTAGCATAGGTTAGATAGAATGATCACCTAATCCATCTCTCTGTGACCACTACTGTATGTTCTAGCTTTAAGTGCCTTCCCTGGGAAGAAGACCCTATAGCCTGAGAGATCTGTTGTCTTAATTTATGGGCTCAAAGAGCCAAAGGTGTTAACATAACCCAGTCACTGCCCAACATTAACCAGTTTTAAACAAGGTTCAGAGTTCAGTATAGAGAGACCTCAGCCTGCTTAGCACCCTGGCAAACATACCATTAAGCATCACATCAATCTTTTATTAAAGATGTAGAAAAGAAGGAAAAAGAGTGAAAGCATTTGAAATGAATCAGGCTTTCATTTTAACAACAGCCCTTGTTCCCTTCCCCTGTAGCTGGAGAGAGTTTTTAGAAAGAACCCTCCTCCCCCCCATCGTTTGACAATCTTTTAGTTGGTATCGAAGGCGATAATAAGTGTCCAGTCCTCCCAAGTGGCGCTCAGGTTTTAGCTGGAGCTAGTGGAGGTGGAGATGTCATCTGGCTCCCTCTCTCTGGCCTGGTCAGGACATCTCTCAGGAGGAGGATGAAGAAGGTGCAGGGACCCAGGAGACAGTGAGGCTAGCAGCCATGATGTTGAAACTCGCTCCTTCCCCTTCACCCAGTGTAGCAGTAGCCTCCATCTGCTGTTCTGAGTCCCCCCCCAAAGTTTAAGAACCCCAGAAGGGAATGGTGGGTGGAACAGCCCATCCGCTCATTATTTTGTCCACCACCAATAGGTCTCATTTCCAACACACTGATTTTGGTTAACTGATTTTCAGTCTCCCGCAGTTCTCGTTTACCAGGGATGATCTGAGCAACCCTGTCCTTGAATTATATATAGGAGGCCTTTTTGTTTGGACTAATTCACTCTGTCTCGCTTTGCAACTTTCCCCAGCAACATTTGTCACTCGAGGTTGTTGTGACATTCCATGAACTTTCATTCACTTCTCACCCGCTGAGTTCACAATTAGTGCACATTTGTAGGCTCAATTATCACAACTGATCTCACGGGCAAGAGGTTTTCCCAGATAGTCAGTCTAAGTTTTCCCTCTCCCATGGCCCCTAATAACATTCTCCTTCCTCCCCACCCCAGCCCTAAATAACTCCTCTCCCTCTGGGGTATTTCTACCCTACAGCTCTTTCTCATCTCCTTACCTTAGTCAATGCTTAGCCCAGCCCAGAAAGACTTAGAACATAAGAGCGGCCATACTGGGTCAGACCAAATGTCCATCCAGCCCAGTATCCTGTCTGCTGATAGTGGCCAATGCCAGGTGCCCCAGAGGGAATGAACAGAACAGGTCATCATCAAGTGATCCATTCCCTGTCACCCATTCCCAGCTTCTGGCAAACAGAGGCTACGGACAACAAAAGCTTGTATGAAAGAGACAAGGTGGGGGAGATAATATCTTTTATTGGACCAACTTCTGCTGGTGGAAGGGACAAACTTTTGAGCTTACCCAGAGCTCTTCTGCAGGTCTGGAGAAGATATTACCTCACCTACCTTGTCTCTCTCATTTCCTGGGACCAACATGGCTACAACACCACTGCAAACAACATTAGCTTTTTATATCATGTGACTAAGGGCCTGTTTGAGCCAAAGTCTATTGAAAGACTCCCACTGTTATTCTTTCTATTCCAGTCGCGCCCAGAGGCCCCAGCTGGGATCAGGGCTCCATTGCGCTAGATGCTGTACATACACATAGCAAGAACCAGTCCATGAAGAGCTTGCAATCTAAACAGACAAAAGGATAATAAAGGAGGAGGAAATAAAAGCAGAGAGACAGGGTGGCCCAGACCCACAGAGGTAGTTAGGCAGCTAACTCCCACTGAAATCAGCAGGAGTTAAGTGCCTAAATACCTTTGAGGATCTTGGTTCAAGTGACTGGCCCAAGGTCATGCAGCAGGTCAGTGGCAAAGGGAGGGATATGACCCAGGCTTTCTGAATTACCAGTCCTAGCCATTGAGCCACACTACCTCTGCATTAGAGGCCCCATCCTCAGTTGGTGTAAATCAGCATTGCTTCATTGACTTTGTCTTTTTTTCCCCTTTGGCTTCTAGGGCTTTTTGGGTCAGGCCCCGAGAGATCATAGCAGAGTATTTTTAACATGCTGGTTGGAAATGGGTCTGTTCTCATGAGCAGAGGCCTCCAGTGGGGCCTGGGATGGCGGCTGGGGATAGCTCGTTCTGCTGAAGGTCACGCTCGTTACATGGAGACCTCTTGTTGCAAGCGCATTCGCATAAAGAGACACAATTTTTACTGTCTCAGCCAGTTTTTTTTAAACCACTTTCCAGCTGCCTCTGAATTATAAATGAAACCCTCTGCTTTATTGTCATGGTTATTTTAGTGGCTTGCTTCACAGGTGTATGAGCAGCGCAGCAGGAGACCCTGCTTCCGTCCAAGTGCCACAACGTCAAGAGGCTTTAGGGAAAACAATTTTTTTTCTTTAAATTCAAATTGAAAAAAAATTTTTGGGGTGGCTTTTGTTTTTAACCAATTAAAGAAGCAGTAACGTGCTTGGGTTTGCTTCACGGTCTGTCTCTAATCTCATCTCCGACTAGAGCCGTAGCCAGAAGCCATTCATGTCAGGGAAAATAATCTGAACTGGGATTGCCCTGGAGCTGGCAAAGGGGATTCAGCCTTCGTCACTGGTTGTGTGGCAGCAGCACCTGGAAGCCTCAGCTGAGATTTGGGTTCCATTCTGCCGGGGCTGAACACAAAGATTGTAAGAGACAGTCCCTTCCCGGGGAGCTCGGGCCCAGATCCTCAGAGGTATTTAGGTGCCTTGTTCCCATTGAAATCAGTGGGAGCTAGACATCTAAATACCTTTGAGGATCTGGTCCTTACAGTTTAAGTAGACAAGACAGACAAAGGGAGGGACAAAGGAAAGATTATTATCTCCATTGACAGACGTGGAAGCGAGGCACAGAAAGATTAAGACCTGGTCTACACTTTAAAATTATACCAGTATAACTATGTTAGGTAGGGGTGTGATATATATATATATTTTACCAATATAATTATATTGGTTCTAGCCCTAATGTGGGATAGTTATCCCCCTCCCCATACAGGAACAACTATATCACTAGAAACCCCCTTTTGACTGATACAACTCCCTTCACATGTCCCATTTTAGCTCTACTGGTATAATTAACACAATATAAATAATGAGGAGTCCTTGTGGCATCTTAGAGACTACCAAATTTATTTGGTCATAAGCCTTCGTGGGCTAGAACCCACTTCATCAGTTGCATGGAGTGGAAAATACAGTAGCAGGTATAAATACACAGCACATGAAAAGATGGGAGTTGCCTTACTGAGTGTGGGGTCAGTGCTAATGAGGCCAATTCAGTTAGGGTGGATGTGGCCCCTTCCCAACAGTTGACAAGAAGGTGGGAGTATCAGCAGAGGGAAAATTATTTTTTGTAGAGACCCACTCGGTAAGGCAACTCCCATCTTTTCATGTGCTGTGTATTTATACCTGCTACTGTATTTTCCACTCCATGCGTCTGATGAAGTGGGTTTTAGCCCACGAAAGCTTATGCCCAAATAAATTTATTAGTCTATATGGTGCCACAAGGACTCCTCATTGTTTTTGCTGATACAGACTAATACGGCTACCCCTTTGAAACCTTAACGCAGTATGACTCTCTAATGTAGACCAGGCTTCAGCAAGGTGCCTGAAGCAACACAGGCAGGGAATTGCAAAGGAGGGAATTGAATCCAGGTTTTCTGAATTCCACTTCAGGGCTTTAGCTAGCCACAACCCCCTCTACCTCTATTTTGATAATGAGAAGCCACCCACCCAGATCCTTCTGGTGGTGTCCATCACTCCAGAATTTAAGCACTTACAATAATCGGGTCTCGCTGCAAATTGAACTCATGACTCTTGGCTTACAAAACCATCACACTAAGTTCCAAGCTATCAAGCATGTAAAGCCAGCGCATGCTAATAACAGACAGGGAGAAGAGCATCAGCTTTCCGATCATTCCCGCCAGCTAAAGAGAAGAATAGGCACTGGAGTTCGGTTCCCGCCTGGAATGGGCTGCAGGTGCACTCAGCAGAAATGCTGTTGTGTGACGCTCCATGTTTCATTCTCCCAGTGCCCCTGTACAAATTAAAAGGGGATTATTTCTAACTACCAGATAACCTGGATTCTGAAAATCTAATAAGATTCCTTCTGCTTCTCACATCCTCACTGGCAATAAAGATTTCAGAGTCTGGCCTGAGTGGACAGTGCTCATAGTGAGAGAGGCAGGGGAGAGTCCGGCTTGCCCAGCAAGCTGCATGGCTGAGAATGTGCAGGCATCCAAGAAAGAGCATCTAAAGAGGCCATTGGTACAGGCTCTTTTCTGGCCACACCCAGACTTTAACCCATGGTGTTTGCAGCAGCCTTGCTGCTGGATTTCATTGCTGTTCCTCCTTCGAGGTATCCAAA